GGGGGGGGGGAAGTGTTTATAGCGGAGGAGGGCACAGACCGTGCCATGCGTGCCATATGTGGCCGGCCGGCTGTCCCAGGGATGCGACGGTGCTGCGAGCTGCGTAACGCACATGCAGAAAAAAAGGGGAATGGAGGTCGACAGCAAGGCAGCGGTAGTGACGCGGTATGGTCTGAATCTCGATCAAGTAAAGAAGCCTCGATCACCAGAAGCGTGAAAAACAGAGTCTTTAGCGAGTTGCGACAAACGAAGGGCAGCTCGGGAATTGGATCATTAACCCAAAAAACGAAAAAAAACAAAGAGGAGGAGTCGGCTCCTCCGCGCTACTGCTCCTTAACGAGCAAGACGGAGAGATGCCTCGCTTTCCATCTCTCGTGAAAAAAAGAAAAAGGAAAAAAAGTTCGCTGATTTGCCCATCAACGGCAGTAGCTCAATCAGTCCCGTGCAAGAATCAAAGGAACCAACGAACCAACGAACCAACGAACCAACGAACCAACGAACCAACGAACGAAACAGCCAATCAATAGATCAATTAGCCAACTAACCAACCAATCAATCAGTCAATCAATCAATCAATCAATCAATCAATCAACCTAGAAACCAATCAAGCAATCAATCTCATGGATACACACGCCAGAACATTACTGGTTAACACAGCGTCAGCTGCGCAAGCTGCTCTCCACTGCGCTGCTTTGAAACTTTCAAACTCCCGCTTTGGTACGATTGCTGCGATCAAACACTGCCGAACTGTCATAATAAGACAGATGAAAACTGTTGCACAAGACACAGACTAAAGAAAGAAACAACAGAAACGATTGATGCTCCGCGGCTTGCAGCGTTCTTCTTAACATTTTGCACAGATCTGGTTGTGGATGCACTTTATTAGATTATAATACAATAAAATAATAATCATTTTTGAGTCAGCGCTCACTGATGTTTTGTCCAGAAGCAAGTCATTCTATTCGGTCAGTTTGCCGAGTTGTTTCAAGTCCGTTTGATTCGATTTGATTCGATTTGATTCGATTTGATTCGATTTGATTCGATTTGATTCGATTTGATTCGATTTGAGAAGTGCCGTAGTCGTAGGATCAGTCGAATCGACGGCCCTGCAGAAACCACTCATCATCAATTTCAAATCTCCTAGAGCCAATCACTCGAACCGAATCAGTCATCATATCTTCGCAAGCTCCTCCTATCGTCTGATACAAACGGAAAACTGCGCTTGTTTGCTAGTCCAGATATTACTTGCTATGATGTCGTTTCTTCATAAGCAAGAAAGTAGAAGAAGAAAAAGCAGAGAGAATAGAATGCAGAATTCAGCGAGGCCAATCACTAATCATCCATGCACTCCAAAGTTTAGAAACAAACTCCAGCACAGACATAAGCTCACTCAAGAAGAAGAAGAAGAAGAAGAAGAAGAAGAAGAAGAAGAAGAAGAAGAAGAAGAAGAAGAAGAAGAAGAAGAAGAAGAAGAAGAAGAAGAAGAAGATGCTCATTCGCCTCGTGGGGCATCGTTTTCGCAGATGGAGCTGGCTGGATGTGGATGTTCTTAAAAAAAATGGACACGCTTGACTTGCAGATTTACTGTCGAACATTATGATCGACGAATGTGTGTGAGTATGACGGTCACCCTATTGGCGAAAGAAGAGAGTAATTTGGGCGGACTAGCGGTATCGGGGTAGAATCGGATGTAACGAGACGCAGAGGACACTGCACTGTTCGAGAAGGGAGAGGGCAGTTGCAGACGGCAGACTGTAGAGCACATCGAATATGCAATGAGACAACTCGTCGACGATCCTGCACCTCCCTCTGCTCACCCTTTTCTTGCTCCTCCCTTTCCCATCCCTCCCCTCCTCTCTTTCTCCTCCTCTTTCCCGTCCTGTCGCTCCTGAGCTCCCTTCCTTCCCCTTCGCCCTCCCCTAACCTCCATTCCAATCTCTAGCCTTTGCCACTACAAGCAGCCTCTTAACTCTGCTTTCTCTTCTGAACCTGGCCGGGTAACTGGTCCAGGTTCCCCGGGATCTGATTGCTTCTGGGCCCAGGTGACAGGCAAGGCGGCAGGCAAGGCAGGCAGGCAGGCAAGGAGAGAGGTACACACATGATCGCGAGCACTCTGGCGCGCAGACGACTGCATATGACCTCGCAGAAAGGCAGGGAGCGCGTCCTTTCCCCCAGACCTGGTCCAAGAACTGTTCCACCAACAGGAAGGTGTTTGTTCCAGACAGGAGCGTGTTTGTTCCAGCTGCGAAGGTGACTGACGACGAACTGATAGCCATTCTGCCCGCAGCGTGGCGGGTTCATATTATCAAAAGCTTGTCCCGCCGGAAGACAAGGAGCCACTTCTTTAGAATCTCACTCTCACTACCGAGAACTGGTCCAGCAACTGCAGTCTGCATCAGCAACCTGTCTGTTCCAGATACCCATCCACTTGACATTGAGGCAGATACGGCAGGCACGAAGGGGTAGGCAGGGAGGGGAGGTTCGGAGGGTTTAGGTTCGGAGGGTTTAGGGTGGGAGGGTTTAGGGTCGGAGTGTGTAGGGGGTTCGGAGGGTTTAGGGGGATCGGAGGGTTTAGGGGGATCGGAGGGAGGGTCGGAGGGGGGCGGAGGGTGAGCACCCTGGTATCGGGGCGCATGCACATAGTCAGGCAGGAAGGGAGGCAGGGCCATCTCATCTCGACCTCCCATGACGCGGAGGCGGTGTGCGACACGATCGTACACCGCGGATTGACGGGATGTGAGGAGGTGGAGTGGGCGTTGCCATCTAGAGTTTGCTGCCTTGGGAACCGGCATGACATCATCCTTGGGCGAAGAGGGGAGGAGGAGGAAGAGGCATCGAGGCGCCGGGTGGCAATCAGCGGTTTAACAGTCATGATTGCCTGCTCCTGGGTCTCGTCCTTCCCCTCAGCTCCGCGAAGGGTCATTGAGGGGCCTGGGACCCGGCCCACGCCCCTGCAACAAATCTTGTTTGTTGTCATGCAAGCTGCCCCCAAGGAAGACGTGTTGACTTCTAAGGGAGGAGGGGGAGGGGGAGGAGGAGGAGGAGGAGGAGGAGGAGGGGAAGGAGGAGGAGAGGAGGGAGGGGGAGGAGGAGGAGGAGGAGGAGGAGAAACAGAAGCTCCCCTCGAACGCTGGGCGAGTACGCCCCCAGTGCAGAAGTCTTTCGCTTCGCATTCAGTTGGGATCCATCTTGGGGTCGGTAGTCGCACTCTCTCCTCCTTTTCACAAGGTGGTTCATTGAGGCCGATGATAGGTTCTGAGCTGGGGCGGTCGGAGACTCCTCCCTCTCCTAACTCCGAGTCCTTCTCGAGCTTCCACCGAAGAGAAACAAGGGTGGAAGGGCTCGACGCTATCAGTCAGGGCCCACAGGCCTCACCCTCTGGGGCTGCGACGGCTCGCGTTCTGAGAGGGGGAGGGGGAGAGGCGGAACGACCGTCTACCGTGAGCGCTCCTCCCGCACACGCCGCGGGGAGTATCTCTTTGCCTGCAACCTCGCGGCCGCATTACTACCTGTCGGAGGAGGTAGGGGTGGCAGCGCGACTAGGAAAAGGGCCAGGAGGAGGAGGAGGAGTGCGAGGAGGAGGAGAAGGGGTGGCGGGCCTGGGGAATGCTCAGAGGCATAGCCAAGGATCAGCGGTAGACTCTAGGCCTCACAACGAAGCAAACATTGGACATGATGCAGAGGAGAGTAGGGTGGCCAGCGGGCCGGTTCACGACGACTTGGAAACGGACAGGTCAGCAGAGTCGCCATCCTCGCCCAGTCGTCATCAGCGTTTCATCACTCCCATCCACGAGCAGACAACCCCCCGAAAAATCACCGTCGCGCCTCTCTCCACCCACCACCCCGTCGCTAGCGTACTTACTGCCTCATCTACTCCCCCCCCCCCCTTCCCTCCTGTATCCGCCTTACCGCTTGCTCCCTCTCCTCTGCAAGGCGGAGAACTCACCGCAGCCGCGGACAAACCAAAGCTGCTGTCAAGCTCAGGATTCGCAATACCAGCTGATGACACCTCTGCCAGCGACTTGCGCGGAACCACCTCCACTTCCTCCTCCTCCTCCTCCTCCATCCCCACCTCCTCCTCTTCTTCCTCCTCCTCCTCCTCCATCACCACCACCTCCTCCTCCTTCTCCTCCTATCCTGCAGGTGATGATCATGACAGGAACAGGTCGCAAGCTGCGGAGTCCACACCTCCCGGAGGCGGAGAGGGACGCAGCAGTAATCAACACTCCTCCGGCGTTTCTCTTGGGCAGTCGACAGACAATGAGAGAGCGAGAGAGACGAATGCAACCATTCTGAGAGGTGGTCCTACAGGACAGACCACAATGGATACATCTATTGTTACTGGCGGCTCATCGATACCCAATGACGCTGTGATGACGACTGGGGAGACTGCAGCAGCTTCGAGCTCGTCGTCCGGAACAGAGCAGAGCCCAGCCTTTTGGGCAGTGCATGTGCAGGACAGCGAGGAGGCAGGGCAGCAAAGGAGGAATGGGATGCCCAGCGGAGCACGAGGCGAGGAATCGCCAACACTGATCTCAAGCGCCAGGCAACCGGGAGAAGCAGTGACGATCGCTCACTCGATAGAGCGCAGCGCCACTGCACCTGCAGCGGGCTCGACGATTGGCAGCCTGTGGCCAGATTCGACGTGCCCTGGTTCAGATGCTCATGGGAGAACGAGCTTTCGAGAGACCGATACCGCCGCGTCGTCTGGCCCGACAGTCCACGGCATCGCAGAGCGTGCTGCTTCTGCTGCTGGTCCTGCTGCTGGACCATCCCATCTAGCTGGCCCTGCTGGTCCATCCTATCTAGCTGGTCCTGCTGGTCCTGCTGGTCCTGCTGGTCCTGCAGGTCCTGCTGGTGCATCAGATCTAGCTGGTCCCGGTGTTGCGGGCTTGGCCAGGCCAGCGTCATCATCATCATCAACGCATGGTACGGGAAGTGCAGAACCAGAGGAGGAGGTGGGTGGTGGACGAAGCCCTCGGCATGCTGAGGAGAGGAGGAATAAGGGAAGAAAGGCAGAGGATACGCGGGGTGTTGAGCCTGGGGCGAGCCTAGCGGCGGCAGACGGCAAGGCTGATGGGGACAAACGGGCCGCCGACGAGACGGTTGCTGCACTTGATCCGGTTGTTCGGTATGGGAAGGGCAGAGGGGAAGGTGCAGATCGAGATGCTGGACAAGCTGGCGATGACGTCAACAGTGCCACGAGGATAGAGGAGAGTACGGGTACGGGTACCAGTGCGCTGTCTGCGAACGCCGGCGATGGAGAGATCTCCATAGCGGATACCAACCGAGGAGGCATGAGTAGTCGGCAGGTGGGAGAGGGGTCGCAGGCCATCGCCGCAAGTCGAGGAGGAGGAGGAGGAGATGGATATGGAATCGGGGATCGACAGCTTGGCCTGGATAGGTTCAAGAAGCTAAGGGGGAGGAGATATACTCCGTTCCCAGGGAAACATGTGGAAGCAAGCGAAGGCCCAGACCCTTCCCCTGGTGATCATGAGGACTCTAGTCTTAGAGAAAGACCTCTACTGATGGAGGGTTATGATGACGACCTGCCCAAGGAGAGGGATGGGGTGTCAGAGCCGACGACGCTCCCTGGTATCAGATCCTTGGTTGTGGAGGAAGAGGCGAAGGCAAGGGAGACGGGCTCTCCCACTGAGCAGCAGCTAAACTCCAACGTAGCTCGAGCGTGGCATCTTCTAATTTCGAACCCATCTACGCCGAGGGCAAGTGACGACACCAGCGCTGTCGAGGAGAAAGGGGCCAAGGGTAAGGATATTCCGACGAAAGAGGAAAGTGGGATTGTGGGGGTGGGGGTGGGGGTGGGGGTGGGTTCCAACTCCCCTGACGTGGTGGATAGCCCGCGCAGCACTGGCCAAGGACAGACAGAAGAACAAGAACACTTGGGACGAAGGCTTAGGAGCGTTCGAGCAAGCTCCTCTCTAGGTGCCGCTTCCAGTTCCGCCCCGAGCCCGAGGGTAGCAGGGATCCCCCTGAAGCTCGACAAGAAGGGGAAGTTCACTAAAGGACAGATGACCTTGTTGAGCGCTGTCGGGAAGATGACCATCATCAAACGCCGCATGGCCCGCAGTCTATCGGTCAAGTCCTTGAAGCACACACCCATTCACGCCAAGCTAGTTCGATGGTAAGTAGGTAACACACACACATCTATCTCCAGAGCCTCTCGCTAACTCTCCAAGTTTTCAACTCGAAACTCTCTCTCTCTACTCTCTGTCTGAATAACGAATCCTTTGCACTTTGTCCAACGGTCGTACTCTACCGAAGCTGATGTGGATTGGTCCCCTATCCCTACCTGCCCTACGACGGTCTGTCTTTTCCCCTTTCTTGTTTTTTTTTTTTGGCGTGAACCTTCACCTCAGAAGGGAGCAGCTACTGGCAAAATGTTCGGTCTTTGCGTTAGCCGCCCCTTCTCCCCCCCCCCCACACACACACCGGCGGCCCATCCTAACCACCGCTGATTAGAGGAGAAAAGGGGCGCGGGGAGGAGGGGGGGGGCAACATGCGTCCCCTTGATTGATTGTGAGAGGTAGCTACGCTTGCAGGGTTACCCTGTATAGGCTTAGGAGTAGTGGAAAGGCAGCTAGTGAAGGTGAAATTGAGTTGAGAGAAGCATATAGCTTAGGTACCAAAAAAAAAAGAAACAAGGGACAGAGGGCCTCGCTCAAGCACTCTCGACATGCGCAAAAGACAATAATCATGGCGGTGTATACTTTCCATGTTCTAGGGGAAGATTCACTCTCGTTTTGCACATTTCGAGAGTAGTGCGAGCGAGGCCCACAATCTCGGACTTCAACGCAAAACAGACTCGCGGACGAGGAGTTCTACCTGGGGCGTGGTCCGTCCGACTAGCAAAGAGGATCGGATCGAACGCCGGAATCTGCACGAGTTTATGGAGATGTGCAGGAAATCGAGATTGAACTGCTTTTCTGCATCTCTGCTTAAACCACATCCAGATTCACGAGCTCGATCCTATCCTTTTTGCTAGTGGGACTTCGGCCCTGTTGAGGGCATACTCACACTATCACTTTCCAACAACATCCATCTGTTCTGTCTGACTGCAATTTCTACCTGTTGAGGGCATATACTCACACTAACACTTTCCAACAACATGCATCTGGCTGCAATTACGGCCACTCCTAGACGAATCTGACCGCAATCATGTCCAGAGCTTTGTAGAAAAAGTCCTAGTGTGAGTATTCCCTGAGAAGATCTACTACTGTAGGCAGCAGGCCCCACTGGTGCTATGTTTATTATGCCTGCAAAGCCTGCACCTATGTTTGTGCACACAACGTCGATCGCTCAGCAGACAGCAGACATTTCGATTTGGATATCCAACGGTTTCCTTCCTTTTTTTTTTTTTTTTTTTTTTTTTTGAGAAGAAGTAATCCTCTATTACCAATCAGAAAATGTTGAGGCCGGGGGCTAGGTCCCACTTACATGAATTAAGCGATATTGACCGTAGATAACAAAGATCAACGGCCAGAATCTCTTAATCCGTGCAAGTGGGACCTTGCCCCGGGGACCTCACAATTCAACCCGGAGTTGACAAGGAACCATAGCTGGAAACCGGGTCCAGCGTCCCATGACTACTCAGATCTTAATGATAAGTTTCTTCCCAAAAAACAATCGTTAAAGCTCTGAAAAAAGGTGGCTATAGAAAGCGAAAAGAAAACAGGCAACAGTACGCACACAAATCCTATAGCCTGACTTTGCAGATCCTCTCAACCACTCAGCAGTTACATTAGCAAAAAGAACAACATGGCCCTGGGGTCTATGCCCGCGACTCCCAGCAGCTATTTTATTCCTCAGGTCTAAAACTCGACCTGAGAGATCTCTGACTTCCAAAGGAGGCCTAAACAGAATCTCTACTGCTAGGATGAAGCCACTTGGATATTTCCACTTGTCCATCTGTCGAAATTGATGCCCAGGTACTGCCTTTAGCCCATGCACGCCGGAAACTGGAATTGTATAATCTTCTGTTCCTAGTGGCTCGCCAATCTGATCGGATGGCCAGCCTAATATGCTCTTTCACCATGGTTATCTGTTGCTATAGAGGAAGCTTCTCGTCCCTGAAAACTTTAGCATTTCTGGCTTTCCAGATAACACTCATAATTACTCCTCTGCAAACAAACGCTACATAACCACAGCCTGTAGTAAAGTTGGATTTTTGAGGCGGAATGGCATGCAGAATCCAGTCATCGGTCCACTCCCACTCCCTACCAACCATGTTTTGCCAGTGAAATCTCCACCACTGCCAGAGTTCATCAGATAGTGGACAATGTAACCATAGATGGGTGCTGGTTTCCCAGCCCCAGTCACATCTCTGGCAGTTGATGTCTAGAGGCATACCTCTCTGCTCCAACCACACTGCTGATGCCGCCACCTGCATAGCCTGAAGCCACATGATTCCAGCTTGCCTCTGTGAGGGTAATTTCTTCAGCGTTTTCCAGATGACCTTGAAATCCGGCTTATTCCCCTGAGGTCTCACTTGCTTTTCAAACCTTGTCAGGGCCATCTCACTTGGTTTCTTCTTTACCGCCTGTCTCTGAACAGTTACCCCAGTCTTCGGTTTATATCTATACAGCGGAATGCTCCCCTTATCTGAAAGGTCCTTCCAGCCATACAATAAGGGTTCCACTTGGAAATCTTCAGCTGCTTTGTTCAAGAGCACCAGTTGATGTGCCTTCCCTGGCCCCAGATCAAGGACCCTGGCTTCTGACAGACCCACCGTCGTCTGAAATGTCTCCTCGACTTCCGTGTCCAACAACCTTTCTCCCCTGGGCCCTTTTCTAGATGACCAAACTTTCACTTTCATCCCTCCTCCTAACTCCGGACCTACTACCCTTAATATACGTTGAGGGTTTGTTTCCGTTGGGTGGAAGAGCCATGTACCTACCCCGTGCTCAGAGGACTCCTGTATCAAACTCTTCCAGAAGTGAGGGATAGCCTGTTTGAGGGCAGAAAAAATTGCTTCCACGTTCCACAACCTAGGTAATTCGGCAGGAGAAATCCAATCTGCTATCTCCACATCCCAGATGTCTTTAACTTGCATAATGCCCTTTTCGACCCAGCCTCTCCCAAAATTACCCGGAGACAACTGGAAGGGTTCCCCATTCTGCTGTGTAATCCCAGGATTCTCGAACAGGTATTGATTTAACACTTCCAAGCGAGTCTCTGGTTGTCTGGATTGCCGCCCACACTTTTGAACTCGGTTTCTTATTCACATAAGCTTTTCTTCGGTTTGCCTCAGCTCGTGTTCCACCAAGTCCCGGTTGTTCTGGCCTTTTCTGTGGAGCTTCTCCCTTGATATCGTATCCACGCCGTACCACAGGCACTCCAAACAGAACCAGCTCTTTGTTATTTTGTACCCCTTGGCTTTGCTTTTGTTGTAGGCCTTAGGGCCAGTTCCCACTGGCAAAGAGGATTGGAATAAATGTCTGAATCAGGACATGTTGTTGCGCTGGCGGGTCGCCGTGAAACTGCACAGAGCCCATTTTCAGGCTCGGCATCAATAGCCGGGCCAAGTACCGGTGGTTTAACAAAGCTGCCAAGTGTAGATCAAGGGTTGAATTCCTTGTGCAGGTTGAAATGATGGACACCTGTGTGTTATTCTATCTGTTCTATGGACTTTGCTTTGCTGATGATGTACATATGCAATTATGCTCCCCAAAAATCCTATGCTATCTGGCGTGTGTGTACGGCTGGCAATCCATCAACAGTTTTGTCTCCGACAGGGTTGGAGGTTTGAACAGCATGTGGTTTGGTACTGGGTATGTACGATTCCATGACCAAAAGAAGTACTGTCCTGGTGATTGTGGTGGTCGTTTCGATTTTGATTTCCACATGGAATTGGTCTTGCCATACTTGTTTCATTGCACGGCCTGCAGGCGGAAGAAGGCAGTATTCGGAGATGTGGAGAGAGGACTTGGGCTAGCTATGGATAAGAGGCACAAGGAAATGCTCATACGTCAAATGAGCATAGTCAAGACAGAAATCCCACAACCGGTAGTGTCGTCCTTCCCATTCGCATTACATCTCAACTTTTGAAGATTGATATTATCCTTATGAACTTCATTGTGTTGCAGATCAAATGGGTTTGGGGTAATGGTCCAACCACTGAGAGCACGTGAGGTGTTGTTCACATCTGCACCATTGTGAGAATTTGACTATAACATAATGTAATGTTCTCACGTTTTCACTGTGTGCGTTTGTGTGTCCGCAAGCATGTGTGTTGTCATGTTCGCTCTTTAGTATATACAACCAAAAAAAAAGCATGACTGTGCCGAACCGTTTTGTGTGTGTGTGTGTGTGTGTGTGTGTGTGTGTGTGTGTGTGTGTGTGTGTGTGTGTGTGTGTGTTGTTTTAAAAGACCCCAGATTCTCTCTCTCATTCCCTTCACAAATCATCACAAGCCATCCATAAAACAAAACGGTTAGAGATAATAATAAAAAATGCAAGATTGGCCACATTTGTGTGATTCAGCGCGAAGTGCCCACACACCCGTCTGCTACCAAAGCAGCACACTTGCACATATACATATGTATACATATATATTTCAAACTTCAAAGTCCATAAGGGGATGGAGGGCAGAAGGCAACTTACCTAAGACAGAAGACTACTCCAGCAAGAAGGCACCGACCCGAACCCCTCAAAGTTGTGTGTGTGTGTGTGTGTGTGTGTGTGTGTGTGTGTGTGTGTGTGTGTGTGTGTGTGTCTCATTTCCTCCACAAATCATAACAAACCATCCATAACGAAAAAGTATAGATAGACAATATAATAGAAAATGCGAGGTTGGCCACGTTTGTGTGGTTCAGCGCCAAGTGCCCACACACCCGTCTGCCGCTGAAGCAGCACACTTGCACATATATTTATTTGATCCGTAAAAGGGTGGAGGGCAAGAAGTAACTTACCTAAGACAGAGGACTCCACCAGCACGAAAGCATCGACCCCATCCGCCATAGGTCCGAAAAAACTTGGAGAGCCCTTCACGTCGATCCACAAAACCACAAAACAGCATAACACAAAAGGCTCCACTAACAAAAAAGCACCTACCACACATGCCAGTGGTCCATTTTTTTTTGAGCCCTCTGCAACGGCCTACAACGGGTAACAACGCCTCAAGAAATAAAAAATACAACGCAGGACCTGTACGCAACACCAAGAGTGCCATGAACCTCCCCCTGCCATGCAACCTGCAGAATCGGATGACGTCCTTTTTTTTTTTTTTTTTTTTTGTTGCATGCTCACGAGACCCCCCATCCTACCAACTCTCTCGATATATCTCCTGGCACACCCCCGCTCCTTTTCTATCTTACCTCATGCGAGGAACATCACTCTCTACTGGAGCAACCTGACCAGACAGGGGACGTGGGCACTGACACTGAATGAGCTCCCCCATTCAGCCCCAGTTGAGGCACTAGCGTACAAGCCTCGTTTATACGGGTACCTCAGGAGCTAGGCGCGAAGTTCTCATCTAGTCCCGTGAGCAGTGAGGGCACCCATAGGCAGTGTCTAATGGTCGGCTAACCAAGGTCTAACCTATGAGCCCCCTACCTCTAAGTACCAACCCTTTTTTTT